CACTCAATGCAGCGAAAGATCATACGATTGTCCCGTTAAAGCTCTTAAACGTCATCAGATCTTCGAGCTTTATGTTCGGTACAGCCTAGCTTCACTGGGATTAGTTTTGCTAGAGTTATTAGCAAAGAGTCGATCGACAAAACCAGACGTGATTGTGGCAAGTCTTATATACATAAGACATAACCTACACAAAACTTACATAATCCCTCGTGTCGAAGTTTTCTTGCAAGCCATAAATTCAGAGGAATCTGTGTTGATCTGTGCTAGTGCCTAGTGAAAACAATAATCAACCAAGGTATGTCTGCCGTGAGCTAGGAAAGTGACCAGTATAATTTATGCGAATTAAGTTTATAGGACAGAGGTCAGGAGCCCTATCTTTCTTAGCAGCCTAAGTGCGCATAAGTGCATATACGGGGTGCTCCACGAGAGGCGTATCACCGAAGTGATCCCCCAATCTACAAGGGGTAGAATTCGATTCCCCCCTCTTCTGCTCCGAAACGCCGAGCCCCGAAAACCTTTGACTTGGGTCAACATTAGTAAGGCGTAGCAACCCTTAGGAAGCTCAGCGCGTAAGGCGGCTCCTCGGAACCTTTCACCAGCTCCACTGAGAAGACCAGTTTGTCGAGCACTTTAGTGCTTATGTAAGCGGCAGATCGACATCAAGCCGGATGTTCCACATTTTAGCCCAGTGTCCAGAGCTAAAACATTGGGCGTGATTTTGACGGACCTGACTACAGAGGAGCCACCGCCAACAGCAGGACAGATGTCCGGAGTTATGCTGTGTTAATTTGCACATTTTCTGGGACTAAGTTCAATATGCCATTTTAAGGCCAATTCCCTGGCAGTTACGTATATGTATATTCAAGCATCGGGAATCATGAGTGTTTGTAGAAAAGAGTGGGTAAGAAATAATTAATTGAAATTATCAAATCGTACTTGCAGGTACACTCGTGTGCATATATTGTTAAAACCTTCTATTTTTCCCTAGATACCAGCACCTACGTCATCCTTGAGCTCAACGATTACGAAAGGAGTAAGGGTATTAAAATACCAAAACCAAAAGAAAACAGTGAGTTTGTAAACTTAAAAACATTTATGCACAGAGTATAAACGTAACCTGCGTGCTACTAAACATTTAATCATAACCGTAATGGGTTGATACCTCTCGCCCCCCTTAATTATATTAACCACATCTGATTATTAGTCCGTATACTTACTGCCCCCACTATATTCATATATACATTCTTGAATTCTTAAATTCTTATAAGCTAAAATGAGTATACATTTTAAGTGCTAGATCGCCGTAATATGAATTCCTCTGTAGGTTAAGAAAATTTCGAAGATATTGAATTATAATAATAGGAAGTCATGGAAATATATAGATAGAAGCCTTTGTTTTGAAACGCAGGTTTAATATGTTCTAAATCCTAACGTCCGTTCTCAGACAAGCAAGGTCGACGTGGTAGGATGAAAACTGCCTGATTGTTCTAGGGTGTATACGGTACGATTTACCAGTATAGCATAGGTTGGGAGGGTAGAGAAGAGGGATTCTCGACGACACCGGAGTTTTCCGTGACTTGAATAGAGTAGTTGATATCATCATCCCCCTTTTTCTCAACAACAAATAATTAATCCACTTTCCATAAATTCAGTCCTGTTTAACCTGTGTTCTGCTTTTGATTTTTGATTCTTTTTTAAATGTGCACCTAAAACATTATGCGAGTGTGTGTCAGTACACAATACAGGAGAAAGTAGAACGAACCCCGACAATCCGGCGAGCTTAGCTAGAGCATAGCTAGAGGTGCACACGAAATCTCTTTGTACTAGTTTGGGTAAAAATACATTTATCCCACACCTGCACGCTTCAGACCTCCTTATAATTTATTAATGGATTCAGCCATCTCTCGTGACCGGCTGCAAGAACTCTCTTTGGAATTCAAACTCGAATTCAGTGCACTCTCTCGATCGTTCTCTCGCGCATATAAAAAGTGCCGCAAAAGTGAACACACAAACGTTTGAACTTTTACATCTCGTTGAACAATCGTATTTAACTGTGATCGACTAATACACTCCGCGTCAACAATCTAGAGCCAAAACATTGGAAATAGAAAAAGTGGATCGTTTGCTATGGGGAAATGAGAATTATGAAACACATAGCGAGTCGGTGGCATTTGGCTCTGCTCCATTTGGTGGAAGCTTCAGTGCCAACGCACTATCTACTTTGGATAGGCTAGAATCAATACGCATGGATATTGAGAAGCTGTGCCAAATGGATGAGTAAATCTTGCGCGGACTGCTGGAATCACTGACGGAGCTGAAATCGAATTTTGTTGCGCCACACACCAGCTTAGAGGAGGCGGATTTTGAGTCCATGTCGAGTGAAATACCTTCACGGTTTGACGCTTCCATATTATCATTGCGGACTATTCTGCAGCGCGAGCTTGGAAGTCGGTCCAGCTCTAGGAATTGTTCCACAATCAACCCGAACTCAAGTGCATCCCCAAGTGCATCGGTTACCTCAGCTGGATCTGCCAAAATTAAGTGGAATTTACACGAAGTGCGCCAATTTCTTCTCAATGTTCACCGCGATAATTGACAAGGAGTCCGAGCTGACCCCTATCGAAAAGCTGCAGCATCTACGTTCCTGTTTGAGTGGCGCAGCCCTCAATACCATCAGCTGATTGGAAATAAATGAGGCTAATTATATCGTGGCATTAGATATTTTAAAGCGTCGCTTTGATAATAAACGTTTTATTTGCAGGTACACATCAGAGGGATATTTGGGTTGGAGAAGGCTGACGAGTCGGTGGGCAAGCTGAGGGAACTGACTGACAGAGTCACCTCACATATTCGTGCAATGGAATCGCTGGCTAGTAAGGCAGAAGTAGCAGACTGTATTCTTGTACAAACAGTACTTCAGAAGCTGGACAAGGCCACTCAGAGCACAAGGCCAATCAAAGAAAATCTTTCGTCGCATCGAGCGCCCCCCTTTCTTGTGTGTTGTGCGAGGGCACGAACCATATGATTGCCAATTGTCCACGGTTTGCACCTCTGTCTTCAAATAATCGTCAGGTGGAAGAAAAGAGGCTCTTATTATTCCTCAATTGCCTACGAAAGGGCCATCATGTGAACTATTGTAAATCCGGTCCCTGCCGCACTTGCCGATCGAATCACCACACGTTTTGCATTTAATTCGTCCAACAGAGACATATCTATCTGCTTCTACGAGTAAAGCCTCGCAACAACAACCAAGTCATACCGCCATGGTTGTCATGTCGTCCTCATTGCCTTAAGCCCTAATATCCCATAGTCCTCCTGATTCTGTGCTGTTAGCCACCGTCGTCGTTCTCGCACTTTTGGACTGGGGATCGCAATTACATTTCATAACTAGTCGTCTATCTAATCAGCTGAAACTTCTTAAAACCAAATCGTTTACCGCGGTCTCTGGCATAGGAGCTAGCTTCTCAACTGAAGGTATCTCGGTGGATCCAGCTTGCTGACCCTTCGTTCCATAATCCGCAACGGATTGACCTGCTCATCGGAGCTGAACTGTTCTTCGAGTTGCTGTGTGTGGGACCAATTCAGCTGGCGCCTGGACTGGATGGACGCTATGGATGGATCATATATGTTGGCGGGCAATCGTCCCTCTACCTATTGTCGTTTATCGCCGCACAGTCTTTGGCTGCCTTGCACTCGGGCGTGCATTTCGCCAACAACACATCTTCGTTTAGTACAACCCAATCTTCGGATGACACCAATCACAGCACTCGGCTCGATGAGTTGATTCATCAATTTTGGGAAGTGGAGCACACCTTTGGGCCGATCGCTAGGGCTGCAAAGGAGGAGCAGCATTGAGAGGAGCATTTCGTTACTAACACTCGTCTGGTGGAGGGCACTCGGCCCCCATTCTCTCGTCGTTTATCGTCTGAGCGTGACAACATCTCGCTTTTGTTAAAGCACATTAACTCATTCGGTGTCAAGATGCGCCTTTTTGGAAACGCTCAGAAGCTCAACAGTGGTACGAAATCACCGCATCTCTCGTCTAAAAACCTATACAAAGGATCAAAATTGCTACGTCGAATCGTTCAACTCGCCCACCTTCACCCTGAGTACCGTGCAGTGCGAAAGAAATTTGCTTTGCGGAAATTTGTTATCTGCTGTAGATCCAGACCATTCTACTATAAGCCAGAAGGGCGCAGTCGATCGCTTATAAAGTGCTACATCAGCGTCTTCATCTGTTTTGCAACAAAGGCCGTCTGGTTGGAACTCGTGAAGGACCTAACAACTGCTGCGTTCTTGGGGGCCCTCAAACGCTTCGTTGCCACTCGCGGCATTCCCCGATGCATTTGTTCGGGCAATGACACAAACTTTGTGGACGCAAGGAACGAGTTAGAGGATCTTCGGCAGCTGTTTTTGAGCGAGAAACATCGTGCTGAAGTTCATAGTCACTGCATCAACCACGGCTTCGATTGGAGATTTATACCACCTCGCTCGCCCCATTTCGGGGGCTTATGGGAGGCAGCAGTGAAGATGGCCAAGAAGCATTTTTATCGCTCCGTTGGATCTTCACTCTTTACTTTTGATGAGCTGCGGACCTTGGACTGCCAAATCCAGGCTGTAATCAACTCTCGACCTCTTATCGCTATTTCAGAAAATCCTCAAGATCTTGGCGTCCTCACACCAGGACATTTTGTAATTGGTCGTCCGCTGATGGAGTTCGCCGAGCCATACGTAACGGGTCAATAGATTGGATTGCTGGCAACGAATCACCTGTGCCCAGCGGATCTTTCAGAAGCGTTGGAGTGAGGAGTACTTGACTCTGCTTGTACTCTTATTATTGTAAAGTTGCTCTCTTTTTCTCTCTCTCTCTCTCTCTCTCTCTCTCTCTCTCTGCACGCCCTTTCACTCGCACTTATTGACAGCATTGTAACGTTTCCCATTAAGAAGCCGACGGGCCCTCCTTTATAGTTGCTTCATGCAAACGACGTAAAAAGACGACGTAGACGAAAAAAGCTAACGGACCTCGCTTAGAACTGTATGCAGCCGGTCTCGACAGTGCGTTGCGCAGGCTGAAGCAGACGGTGAAAGAGAAAACGAAAACGACTAGCTGGCCGCTAGCACTGGCACGGTCGGCCACAACGACTTTTGGTTCGCTACTTTTCTAAGCAAATCCTGAGTTATATGATTAAAATTCAAATAATTAAATGTTTAAACATTTTAACGCACTATAAGTTCACAATCACGTCGGGGTCACCAAAATGTTGGAAGCTGCCGAGCTTTTTCGGCAAGTCTGACTCCACATTTACGACAATTATTTTCCGTTTTAGTTGTTTCAAATATTTATTTACTATTCGATGTTTTTGTACAATTAAAAGGGGCGTGGAACTACGATTCGGTGCGTTAAACCTTTACAATAATTTAGAGCTAATCTAGGTTTGCGTTGGACATATGTATAAACAATTGGACTGCTCGGAACGATGCGCGGCGATCGACAATATTTTAGACTGGGCAAGAAAAGGTCAAAGCCTTGCAATATAAGCAGTACGGAGGGTGTAAGAGGGAGCGATGAGCGGGACAATAGCATATCAATATAAGAGAGTATAAATGTAAACAAGGCGAGCTGATCTTAATAATTATGTAGCTGCTGCTGCTCCGAACAGGGCGGTTTTCTCCCATACAATTACGAAGACATCGCCAACTACTAGATATCGTTCACATTACAGAACACGTAGAAAAACCTCTACTGAATAAAATGCAGTAAAAAAATTGGATCAGTTAATCGTATTTTTCAATTTATGAGACAGTTAAAACAGCAATAAAACTGGTAAATTTTCAGTGCACGTGCTTTTTAATAATGACCGCTGGGTTTCACAGCTGATTTTGCGAAGGTGGAGCCATCTATGCAAATTTCTGGTAAGCAACTTTGATGGTCACTTTTTTTTCTAAAACAGAGCGCCAAAAACCACGTCTTGGTTTTAACTTTTAAAAATTACCTTTTGGCCAAGAAAAGTAGTCATTGGGACCGTGGGGAGCGTGGGTTGCCGCTTAAAACTCCGGAGGGGGGTGATGTCGTCTGTCCAGGTCCCAGGTTCTCTGGCTCCGCTCACGCACTCTCGACTTGGCACTTTTAATTCAGCGGGCACGTCCGTTCAGTTTCAACTCTCGCGATCGACCTCCTCTGCTCTCAATTTTAAGCGGGGCTCCTGGGTTCTCTGCCGACCCTCTGCTGGCTCTGCATCGTTCGCTTCTCCCGTGTCTGCGATCCGTCCGCTTCGCTCAGCGTCTCTGTCCTTCCTCTGCCTGAACGGTGTCGGCGGCTATCCGCTCACGCTTTCTTCCTGTACGGTAACCGCCGTTGGGCCTCACACTTGTGGTCGCATGTGTGCGTGCCTGAGCTTCTGCGTTCTTGCTCTCCACTCTCTGGCGTTTACCGCGATCGCTTCGCTAGAGATGCCGCCCAAATATTGCCAGCGTGATCACGACTCCCTACCACAATCACGACATGACTCACGTCTCTGGTAGCCGCTTAAGGCCGTGTAATTAAAATAATAAATTCATGGATATGTATATGCTTACAATCATCGAAAAGAAAGAAGCTAAATTCCTGGAATGGTGCCGAATACTAACAATGATAATCCAAGGGGAAAGGGGCAAAACTGTGGGGGAGCGTACGCTCCTTAGATGCGTACCTCGACGACATCATCATGATAGGAGCAGCTCTAGAGGACCACGTCGAGAACCTACGAGAGGTGTTTCGAAGGTGGCGAATATCCGATTGAACAAGGACAAATACATATAGATTCTCTCAAAAGAGCATCGTATACTTGGGCCATGTCACAGAAGATCGTGACAGTCCGGTAGTTATCTCCCCCACGCACAGGGAGTCTGGAAATGAGGAGTATGCCTGGGAATGGCGTCATAGTATCGAAGGTTTGTTCCGAACTTCGCTTCTATTGTCCAGCCCATGTCTAGCCACCTGAAGAATGATAATAACGCAAATGACGCAGCAGATCTCGGGAGAGGAGAGGGTCATAGCATACGCGAGCCGACGACTCGCAGAAGAGAACTACTCTGCGACAGAGAAAGAATGTTATGGTCTGGGCGATAAGGAAGTTGAAGTGTTAGTTAGAAGGTTACCACTTCGATGTCGTCACGGATCATCTTGCCCTGAAATGGCCCATCGCTCGATGGCTGACCATGCTGCCTCGAAACCGTCTTAATGGAGAGGTGGTACAGCTTCTCCACTGGAGATAGCCTCGGATTGTCGATATATATCGCTGTGAATAAGTCCCGGAACGTAGGCCAGCGAACGTAATCCCCTGTGAAAACTTCAATATCACAGGGGGGCAGTCGACAGCTACCCTGGGAGGCTTGCAGCACGGGAGGACGGACTTCTGGGCGGTCAATTTGGGCAATGAGGTCCGCTACGCACCGCTCGTAGGCCTCTTAGAATTCGCCATACATGTCCTGAACTTCCTTTTGGACTTCAGGGGGCTCGCACAGCATTGGCACCGAACAGGTCTCAAACTCAGCATCCACCTTGGCCCACATGTTCTGGAGCTGGTCACGACGGACCTTTGAAACCGCGGAAGATGGGGTGCTGGTCCCGGAAGTGGTGAGCCGTGCTTCCAAGGTGGTCAGTCTAACGATGGCTGCCACAACCTGGGCCGGGAGGAGGTGACGGTTGACTGTGCCATTGGAAGTGTGGGGCAAGAACTGATTTCCGATTTCGGGTGTTGAGGCAAAAGCACCTTATGCATGATCGGCGAAGGAAGCAGAACTGATTTTGTCGTCGCCGCAGTGGTACTCGTGGAGGCCTTTGGAGTACCTGGTGTCTTTGCCTTTTGAGTCCCTGAGTCCTCGAGGTCGGCGTTGATGGCACGATAGAAAACCATATTATTAACCATAATATTAACTGCTCGGATGGATAAGAGTCCAGTGAGCGATATTTTTATTTTTGCCACCGCTCGGTTTTTTGTGTTTGTCACCTTTAGTTTTTGGCAATTTGGAAATTGGCGCGGAAAAAATGCAACAAGGCTGCGGAAATGAGCTGTGCCTCTTGTTGGATTAATTTATCCCTGATGTGTGGGAAATTATTTTGGCGGTGGGTCACTTAAAGTGCGCCTGGAATGAAATTTGCATATAAATCGGTGTGCCGGTATCGCGTATGGTGCTAACGCGTAGGTGCATACATATACCAAATGTTGTATGTAGATGTGGCGTAATTGGTATTTTGGTGGTATTTTTCCCCGGGATTGGTTATTTTTATTATTTAATATAAATATCCAATGTAAATAGGGAATTTAGGAATACGAAAATCTATGGAAATTAATCGAACGCCAATAAACAACTTCGGTGGAGTGTTTTATTGGGGGCGGGGTGTGTGCGTGCTGATCAGACAAACATATGCACATACATATGTACGTGTCGGACGCCGGTATTATGGCTACATATGCGTGTATTTCAAAGTCCGAATTTTGAAGATACGAGAAAACCATAAACGCAGTTCCGTAGAGAATGACCATATCTTTCAGATCCCCAAATAAGGATCAGATTCGATTAATATAGCCAGAGTGATGAAATTAATTTGCAGTGGCTACCCCCACCCTGTTCCAGCAGCTGTGTTTTTTAGTATTGATCATTCTCTCTCGCTCGCACACTCTGATTCGTCCATGGTGGGTGTCTGTTGGAGGGGGATGGGTAAAAGTGCGTTTTGTAGGCGACTTACATCGTCCCTCCTCGTTTACATTCCTAATGGATAAGCCTTCACCAATACAAGTTGATCCAAGCTGATATGGGCATTCTTCGATTAAAAATCTCAGCTTTCCCATTTGGTCGACAATCATGACATCCTGAGATACATT